AAATTGCCGACCTTTCGGTCAGCAAGTCGAGCAGCCCACCGGGAGCTCCATGGTTTTGTGTAGGCACTCTTTAATACTGTACCTCCAATTTAAAAACCCTCTGTATTAGAGGTTTTATACTCAGATATGTACCTTGAGGACAACAGTCTCTGCTGCTTTAAACCTTTTTCCTAAATTAAGAGACTAGATACTATATTTTGAAGTTCAAAAAAGCTCCTCAGATCCAACAGATAATGGGTAACTACATGAGACACATTAAAAAGCTTCTGGTACTTTTATATGTATTAGTCATAGTTTCCTAGCCTCTTCAATACAAGACATAAAAAGCAATCGTAAGCATGTTTAGTGAGCATATCTTGATCAGTTTTGCTCTACCGTTTGGTTTAGATACACTTCCTTGACAGCAAGCCCTATTTAATCAGATTTCTGAATATAAACATGTAGGACTATACTGTCTGCATATCTTACTAGGGCAACTGAATCCACAGCACCTGATTACTATCGCAACCCATACAGCTTCACTTCTTTAAAGGAAGAGCACTGTGCTTCAAATTGGCTAAGCTGGTAAGAGGTGCGCACTCTGCCGCATCAGCTGGTGCCACTGCTTAAATTCTAGCATTGGTTGTTGTCAAAAAGAGCAAAGAGACACTGTCTCTCCCACACACACACACACACTCCCCATCTCTAAAAACCCTTGTCAGTTTGACTGCCTCAGTGGGCTTGATGAGCTGTGAAGTGGACCAGACTTCTCTGACAAGACTCAAAAGATGAGAAGGAAAAAGTGATGCTGGCAAATGAGCAAAGGAAACGGGGAAATGGGGATGATGCCCTAAGGACACCTAGGTGATGTGCAGAGACAGCCTCATCTATTGTAAACTCATGTGGGAAAGCACGGACAGCCAGCGTCCATCCAGGGCACTGCTCTGTTTCCCTCCATGGTACCTTCGGGAGGGACCAAAGAAATGGAGATCCTCTCTCCAAGTCACCTATACTCTGGTCAGAGACTGTTGGCAAATTGGTGCATAGAATAGGGCTGCCGCAACACACATATTTTGCATGCTAGAGTTTAGCCCTTGTGAACATGAGGGAGTATTAAGTGAAAAGAAGAAAATGCAAAGTAAGTGCAGAACATCTTTCCTCTAACACCCAAAGAAATGCAACAAGCTCTTTTACATCTGGGACTAAAGGGCAAGGCTGTTGACACCTGAGGCAGGCTTGAGCTTACTCACTTTTCTTCTGAGAGATTAAGCTTTGGGTTGCTGTGTTTTTGCTCCACCTTGCTGCATTACAGAGTATTCCCCATCCTCCTTAGGTTTAAATAGCAGCAGACAAAGCTTGGGATGAAAGAGTAAAGAGTTCCAAAGCTTTTCACTACTCAGGAGGGAGAGAGAGAGAGAGAGAGAGAGAGAGACAGTCACTTGAGGGTAAAAGGGATCAAAGAACAGCTAAACTCTTCCTCAAAATGGAAGATGATGATGAAGAAAAAGAGGAGAGGGAGGAAGAGGAAGAGGAGGAGGAGGAATAGGGGAGGAAGAGGAGGAAGAAAACTTCTGGCTGGGAAAAGCAAAGACACTTCTTCAGATGTTGATCCTTCTTATTGGGAAACCAAAGAGGAAAGCAGCCAAGTGGAAAACTCGTGCACACACTTGCACCTGCCTTGTGATACCAGCTGCAGTCTGCCGGTAATAACAATTTAAAGAAGGTGCAAAACAGTTTTGCAGGAGGATGCTAAGAGAGCAGTCACAGGTTCTCTGGAATACCTTTTAGCTTTCAATAATACCTTTTAGGTTGTTTTGTGTCATATGGGGTGCTAAAAGAAACCCTTCCTGGACGTGAAGGGAAAACAAGACTGTCAGGAAAATATGTTAAAAGAGGGAGGGGTCAAAAGTCCCCAAAATTCCTTCCAAAAGCAACAGGACATTTCAGTAAACAAAGACGTAGTGGATGGAATGCGACTATTTTCCCCTCCTGGTATCTAAGTGATAGAAACGAGTGCATTTCCCCTCCTGCTATCGAATGAACGGAAAGAGTGCATTTGCCCTATTAGTATGCGAATATGGCTCATGTGAGTTGGAAAAAAAAAACACCCCACACATGAAGACCTTCCCTCACATTTGGTGTAGTAGCCACACAAAAACAATAGTCCAGACAGAACGGCACACCACACTGGAAGACAGTGAGAGGATGCGATTGGAAGAAGGGGAACCCCACACAAACAATTTTTGAGGAACTCTTCCCAGGAAGGGTGTCCCAAAAGTCAGCAGAGAAAGGGAACATATTCTTATATTATACAATATGAGTATGGGGGAGAAGACTTAGGCTGCATCCACACTGACCTTTATGCTAGGATCTGCTTCCAGATTGTCTGGCAGTTTAGACTCATATAATCCAGTCCAAAGCATATATTCTGGGTTCAGATCCTGGGATATAGGGTAGGATCCAGCCTCACTGTACGTGTGTAGAAAGAGTTCCTTCTAAGGAATGTTTTTTTTTTGTAAAATATTGTAAGGAATCTTTAAATCAAGGTATCCCTAGTCTCCCTGTGTAAAGTACTGCAAAAGGGCAGAGACAGAGAGGCCCCTTCCACACTGCCTTATATCCCAGGATCTGCTCCCAGATTATCTCCTTATCTCAGATTATTTGGCAGTGTAGACTCATATAATCCAGTCCAAAACATATGCTCTGGGACCAGATCCTGGGATATAAGGCAGTGTAGATTCAGCCTCACTGTGTGTGTATAGAAAGAGGTGGGCAAGAGTTCCTTCTAAGGGATATTTTTTGTAAAATACTGTAAAGAATCTTTTGTAAGGCAAGATACCCTTAGTGTCCTGCAAAAGGAAAGAGAGAAGCCACTTCCATACTGCCCTTCATCCCAGGATCCGTTCCAAGATTATCTGACAGTGTAGACTCCTATAAGGTAAAGGCTTCCCCAGACTTTGTCTAGTCACATCCGACTCTGGGGGTGATGCTCATCTCCATTTCTAAGCCAAAGAGCCAGCATTGTCCGTAGACGCCTCCAAGGTCATGTGGCCAGCATGACTGCACGGAGTGCTGTTATCTATTGATCTACTCACATTTGCATATTTTCAAACTGCTAGGTTGGCAGAGGCTGGGGCTAACAGCAGGAGCTCACCCCATCCCGAGGATTCAAACCACCAACCTTTCGGTCAGCAAGTTCAGCAGCTCAGTGGTTTAACCCACTGCGCCACCAGGAGGCATTTAGACTCATATAACCCAGTTCTAAGCATATACTCTGGGACCATATCCTGGAATATAACGCAGTGTAGATCCAGCTTCACTGTGTGTGTGTGTTTGTTTGGTTGTGTGTATTTATATATATACACATACATACAAAGAGGTGTCCAAGAGTTCCTTCTAAGGAATGTTTATAAAATATTGTAAGGAATCTTTTGTAAGTCAAGGTACCCCAAGTCACCCTATGTGTGGGACTACAAAAGGGCCAAGAGAGAGGACACTGCCCTATATCCCAGGATCTGATCCCAGATTATCTGGGAGCATAGACTCATATAACCAAGTCCAAAGCAAATACTCTGGCATCAGATCCCGGGATATAGGGCAGTGTAGTTCCAGCCTCACTCTCTGTGTGTGTAGAGAGAGGGGGGAAGGGTGGCCAAGAGTTCCTTCTATGGAATAGTTTTGATTGTAAAATATTGTAAGGAATCCTTTGTAAATCAAGGTACCCCCAAGTCTCCCTATGAGTGGGACTGCAAAAGAGCACTGCACTATATCTCAGGATTTGACTTCAGATTATTTGGCTGTGTAGACTCATATAACCTGGCCCAAAGCATATACTTTGGGATCAGATCCTGGGATATAGGACAGTAGATCCAGCCTCATTTTGTGTGTAGAGAAGGGGGGGGGGTGGCTAAGACTTCCTTCTAAAAATAAGGGTTGTTTTTTTTTTGTAAAATACAAAAATTGGCTAAAAGGTCCTTCTAAAGAATAGTTTTTTTTGTTTTTCTTTTTGTTTTGTTTTTTGCAAAATATTGTAAGGAATCCTTTGTAAATCAAGGTACTTCCAAGTCTCCCTATGAGTGGGACTGCAAAAGGACACTGCACTATATCTCAGGATCTGACTTCAGATTATCTGGCTGTGTAGACTCATATAATCCAGTCCAAAGCATATACTGAGATATAGGGCAGTGTAGATCTCCCTATGTGTGGGACTGCAAGAGGGCACTGCACTATATCTCAGGATCTGACTTCAGATTATCTGGCTGTGTAGACTCATATAATCCAGTCCAAAGCATATACTGAGATATAGGGCAGTGTAGATCTCCCTATGTGTGGGACTGCAAAAGGGCACTGCACTATATCTCAGGATCTGACTTCAGATTATCTGGCTGTGTTGACTCATATTACCTAGTCCAAAGCATATACTTTGGGATCAGATCCTGGGATATAGGGCAGTGTAGATCCAGCCTCACTGTGTGTATGTGTGTGTATGTGTGTGTGTAGAGAGAGAGAGGGGAAGGGTAGCCAAGAGTTCCTTCTATGGAATAGTTTTGATTGTAAAATATTGTAAGGAATCCTTTGTAAATCAAGGGACCCCCGAGTCTCCCTATGAGTGGGACTGCAAAAGAGCACTGCACTATATCTCAGGATTTGACTTCAGATTATCTGGCTGTGTAGACTCATATAATCCAGTCCAAAGCATATACTGAGATATAGGGCAGTGTAGATCTCCCTATGTGTGGGACTGCAAAAGGGCACTGCACTATATCTCAGCATCTGAATTCAGATTATCTGGCTGTGTAGACTCATATAATCCCGTCCAAAGCATATACTTTGGGATCAGATCCTGGTATACAGGGCAGTGTAGATCCAGCTGTGTGCGCCTGAAGGTGGCTCTGGGGAATGTGGGCGCAAAGTGGTTGTAGAGGAAGGAGAGATGGGGGGGAAGCCAGACAAGACACAGACACAGAGAGAGAGAGACACAGAGACAGAGACAGGGACCCCTCGAGGCGGTGGGTGCTTACTGCGGGCTCTTGGGGTAGAAGGGCAGGGTGACGTGGCTGAGGTCCTGGAGGTCGAAGGCGGTGGGCTCGGCGGAGATGGCCTGCCGCTTGGTCCGCTGCTCGCCCCCTCCTCCTCCGCTTCCTCCTCCTCCTCCTCCACCCCCACCGCCTCCTCCTCCTCCTCCCCCCCGCCTCCGGCGGCCCCCTGATGCGCCTGCTGGGTGGCCGGCCGGATCACGGAGCGGTACTTGTCCAGCTCGTTCTGGAGCCGCTGGATGAGCTCGTCCTTCTGGTCCAGCTCCAGCTCCAGCTCGTCGATGAGCGCGTCCCGCTGGCGGAGCTCCTCGATCTTCTCTTGCAAGGCGTACTGCAAATCCCGCAGCGTCCCCATCCTCGAAGGGAGCCGCCAACGCCGCCGCCGCCGACGGAGCCACCTCTCCCCCTCCGCCTCGTCCCACTTCGCGCCAACTTTGCCTGTTGGACTGTTGCTGCTACTCGCCGCTTCCTAGGGGAAGGGAGCCCCCATCCTGGGAAGAAGCCCACCACCCTCCTCCTCCTCCTCCTCCTCTCCGCCTGCTTGCCTGCGTCAGGCCACCAGACTGGAGAGAGACGGAGAGTGAGGAGGGAGCGCGAGGGGCGTCTGCAGCATGCCGCCGCTTTCTCTCTCCCTCCGCCGCCGCCGCCGTTCCGCTATCCCGCCCGCGCCCCCGCCTCTCTTCTTCTTTCTCCTCCTCCTCCTGCTCAGCTGTTACGGCCGCCCCTCTTTCTCCCCCTCTCCTCCTTCCTCCGCGCAACTCAGCCTCGTAAGAAGAAGAAGAAGAAAAAGGAGGGAGAGGGCTACATTCCGGGCGCCTTCCTGGCCCCCCAAAGACGGCGCGCGCCGCTTGTTGTGTTGCGTGTTTTCCCGCCGAAGCACGCGCTCTCTTCCGTCTCAGAGGAGAGAGAGAGAGACCAAGCCTTGGAGAGTTGGAAGCGCGCGCGCGCTCGCTCGCGGTGGGGGGGGGAGGGGGGAGAGGAGGCGCGGGGGCTTCTTTTCCTCTTCTCTGACAGACTTTAATTTTTGGCGGGAAGTCGGCTTGAGCGCCACACAAACAGTCAAAAAAAAAAAAACCATACACACAAGAGAACGTGCGTTAGCTGTCAAGCACAGGTGTCTTTCAACCACTCCGGCCCCGCCAATGGGCGCCTCTTCTTTGCAGAATTAGCTGTCCAGCACAGGTCCTGCCAATGGGTGCCCTGGTTCGATGCTATTCCACACAGCCCTTTATCCCAGGATATCACATTATCCCACATTATCTGAGTGTGGACTCAGATAACCCAGTTCAAAGCAGATATTCTGGGATTTTCTGCCTTGATATTAGAATCAAAGAGTTGAAAGAGACCTCGTGAGCCATCCAGTCCAACCCCCTGCCAAGAAGCAGGAATATTGCACTCAAAGCACCCCTGACAGATTTATTTATTTAGTAATTTCAGGTACTTTTACCCCGCCCTTCTCAACCCCGGAAGGGGGACTCAGGGCAGCTTACAAAAAAGGCACAATTCGATGCCTATACAAATTACACATAATGTACAAAACCATAGTTAAAACAATCATCACAGTTAAAACAGTCAAACAATCAATATACAATGCATCATATAAAAACTATTCACATGCTCAGCAATTCGTCTTTCAGAGTTCCAAATTCCATTCCATTAGTCATTTCCTGGCCATTGTCAAAGGCATTTCTTTATCTCTTTATCTGCCCGATTGTCCAAATGCCTGGTCCCAAATCCATGTTTTCAGTTTTTTCCTGAAGGAAAGGAGGGATGTCGCTGATCTAATTTCCCCAGGGAGCAAATTCCACAGGTGGGGGGCCACCACCGAGAAGGCCCTGCTCCTCGTCCCCACCAACCTCACTTGTGATAGCGGCGGGGTCAAGAGCAGGGCCTCCCCAGAGGATCTTAGACTCCGGGGTGGGACATAGAGGGAGATCCGTTCGGACAGATACACTGGGCCGGATCCATATAGGGGTTTGTAGGTCAAAACCAGATGGCCATCCAGCCTCTGTTTAAAAGCCTCCAAAGAAGGAGCCTCCACCACACTCCGGGGCAGCAGAGTTCCACTGCTGAACAGCTCTCACAGTCAGGAAGTTCTTCCTCATGTTCAGATGGAATCTCCTCTCTTGTAGTTTGAAGCCATTGTTCCGCGCAGAGGCGACCCTAGGTAATTTTCAACGGCAAGCAAACAGTATTTTGGCGCCCCCCCCCCCCCAACCAGTCACTGATATATATTTTCTGTTCGTCGTGGGAGTTCTGTGTGCCATATTTGGTTCAATTCCATCATTGGTGGAGTTCAGAATGCTCTTTGTAGGTGAACTACAACTCGCATATGTCAGGGTCTATTTTCCCCCAAGAGCGCCTCAAGAGTGCCCCTGGGCAAAATCTGCTATACTGCGAATGCTTACTTTGCGTAATGGGTTGAGCCACCCCTGGTTCCGCGTCCTAGTCTCCAGGGCAGCAGAAAAAAAGCTTGCTCCCTCCTCCCTGAGGCTTCCTCTCACATATTTATGCATGGCTATCATGTCTCCTCTCAGCCTTCTCTTCTTCAGGCTAAACATGCCCAGTTCCCTAAGCCGCTCCTCATAGGGCTTGTTCTCCAGACCCTTGATCATTTTAGTCGCCCTCTGGACACATTCCAGCTTGTCAATACCTCTCTTCAATTGTGGTGCCCAGAATTGGACACAGTATTCCAGGTGTGGTCTAACCAAGGCAGAATAGAGGGGTAGCATGACTTCCCTGGATCTAGACACTAGACTCCTATTGATGCAGGCCAAAATCATTGGCTTTTTTTGCTGCCACATCACATATTTGGCTCATGTTTAACTTGTTGTCCACGAGGACTCCAAGATCTTTTTCACACGTACTGCTCTCCAACCAGGCATTGTCCCCCATTCTGTATCTTTGCATTTGGTTTTTTCTGCCAAAGTGGAGTATCTTGCATTTGTCCCTGCTGAACTTCATTTTGTTAGTTTGGGCCCATCTCTCTAATATTCTGGGATATAGGGCTGTGTGGAAGGGCCCTCAGTCCTATAACCCAGAATATCAAGGCAGAAAATCCCACAATGTCTGCTTTGAACTGAATTATCTATGTCTACGCTGCCATATGTTCCAGTTCAAAGCAGAAGATGTGGGATTTTATTCAGCTGTATGGATTTTCTGCCTTGATATTCTGAGTTATATGGCTGTGTGGAAAGGCCCCCAGAATATCAAGCCAGATAATCCGTAATACATGCTTTGAACTGGGCTATCTGGCTCCACACTGCCATTTAATCTACCTCAATGTGGATTTTATAAGGCTATGTGGAAGGGGCCTGGGTGTTGTCATTTTTGCAAATTCTTCTGAGCATTCTCTACCCTTCTTTGCCGTACTACAACTCCTTAAGATTTCATAGCATTGATCCACCATAGCAGTTTAAGAGTGGTGTTCAAACTGCTTTACCTCGACTGAAGAAGAGCTTTCCATACTGTATTAGTGTGGTCTGCAGGAAAATGCCAAGAACATTACAGACAGTCCTCGGGTTACAAACATCAAACTTACAAGCGGTCCATAGTTAAGAACGGGGGTGAGACAGCAAGAAGGGAGAGGAATCTACCGCTCAGAAGGGAAATTTACTCTTGGAAGAGTTCGTTAAAGGTAAAGATTTTCAGACTGTGGCCAGGAAATCAGAAGACGCTTACTTCTTGGGAGGAGAGCAATGTCCAATCTCGATAAAATAGTAAAGAGTAGGGACATCAGACTGGCAACAAAGATCCACCTAGTCAAAGCCATGGTATTCCCTGTAGTAACCTACGGATGTGAGAGCTGGACCTTAGGGAAGGCTGAGCGAAGGAAGATAGATGCTTTTGAGCTGTGGTGTTGGAGGAAAGTTCTGAGAGTGCCTTGGACTGCGAGAAGATCCAACCAGTCCATCCTCCAGGAAATAAAGCCCGACTGCTCACTGGAGGAAGGGATACTAGAGACAAAGTTGAAGTACTTTGGCCACATCATGGGGAGACAGCAAAGCCTAGAGAAGACAATTATGCTGGGGAAAGTGGAAGGTAAAAGGAAGAGGGGCCGACCAAGGGCAAGATGGATGGATGGCATCCTTGACGTGACTGGACTGACCTTGAAGGAGCTGGGGGTGGTGACGGCCGACAGGGAGCTCTGGCGTGGGCTGGTCCATGAGGTCACGAAGAGTCGGAGACGACTGAACGAATGAACAACAACAACAAAGGTTTTCCCCTGACATTAAGTCCAGTCATGTCTGACTGGGGGATGATGTTCATCTCCATTTCTAAGCCGAAGAGCCGGCATTGTCTGTAGACACCTCCAAGGTCATGTGGTCGGCATGACTGCATGGAGCACCGTTGGAAGAGTTATCATGTGGGAAGCGTGTCTCCACTGAAGCTGTTTCACCAATCCTTGTTTCCAAAATATTCTCACAGGGACAGAAAGTGAGGTGAAACCTCACAGGGGTGTTAACCTTTCCCTATGCTATCCAAAGCATGTGTGTGTGTTTGGCCAGGGTTACACTTTAAAATGTACTTATTCTGACTTACAAACAAATTCAGCTTAGGAACAAACATATAGAACCTATCTTGTTCGTAACTTGGGGACTGCCAGTATTTCCAGTCAATAAGAGACATAGAAGGTTAGGACTGATCTGATTTATGAAACCCTTATGGCGCTCTGTAACAACTAATTGACAGCTCTGGGTATAAAAAATTGCACACATACAGCTTAACCCAATCTATATTTCTCACACAGATAATGATCCTGAAAGACAGTGCCTCTGTAACTTCCAAAGATCATGAAAGTTAAGAGATATAATACAAAGAAAAGTGAACTGTGTGTTATAACACAGTGTGTTGGCTGCAGTGCGCAGGTGTGTCACGTGAATGTAATTGAAATAAACAAGGAATCCTATATTATTAAAAATATAAATGGAGGGTTTTCATGAGATATGTTGTGTTCCCATACATTTCATTGTTACAGTTTGTGTATGTATCACTTGTGGGAGTCAATGTTTGAAGAACCTGCTTCAGTTACACCTTTTTTTGCAGTTTTGCACCAAATGGTCCATGGTAAATGTGGCAATGGGGAATATGATAGCTGTGGTGTCCCTCTTCTCTTGATGCCTGGTTTTGTGCTGATTTTGTTTCAAGCTTCATGCAGCCCTGTCTCTAGGATATCACACCCAGCTAACCTGTTGTTGCACGTGGTTTACATCACAAGGAGCAGAGTGGATTCCTTCTCCAAGAGATTGGACAGGCTTCCTCAGCCCTGCCTCAAGCCTCCTACAGATTCAGGTGAAACTTCATCCAGACAACATATATTAACAGTGGCATTATCGTTGAGGCGCATTTAAAATATCCCTCACATTGCCAGACTATTTCAACCTGCCTAAAGCAATCTCCAGGGTCTCTCCTCTCTCTGCTTCTCTCACTTTTGAGAGCTTTAGGAAATGCAAGATAATTAGCTTTTTTAGGTCAGCTACTTCTCTCAGGACAGTTTTGAGCTTCATCCCTAATTACAGCTGGGTAGTAGTAAACTTGCTCACCTACTGTGTCATTACAGCCACAGGAAATAAGGAAAACGGCTACTAGAGAGGAAAGATCTTGATCAGCATCCAGAGAGAGGGGAACCTTTTTTGCATTTCAAGTGATCAAATGAAAGGAAAGAGTTTTATTTACCTGGATCTTGCTGAGTGTTTGGCCTTCATACCTTTACACAGGAAGAGCAAAACAGGTGCAGCCATAATGCTGCACCTCCATCCATAGCTGAGGCCCAAGCTTAATCCTTTCCAGTAGTAATTGAGGCATGACTTCAAATTCAGCACCTGTCTCCTACCTAGCCAATATTCTTTTTCCCACCTTTGATTCCAAATGTCGTTCCAGAGGACGGAACACAGCCCTGAGAGCCTTCAGTGCAG